CACACGTATACCTCTATCATAGTCAACATATACTCCCACCATATCTTGCATGTCTTCTCATCCTCCTTAAAACGATACGTGTAAGTAAAAAAAAATATCAGTAATATAGACGCATTTTATGTACCGTTCTCGATAGGCTAGAGTTGTTTGGGATAGTATGTTTCTGGATAGGCTAAACAGTTGTATTTGTAACGGAGTGGCAACTTGAGAACACGAGCCGTCTGTCGTGATGGGCTACAGAGTATAGGTCAAGAGCTGGCTGGCTAGGCACACCTAATATAGGTCAGGAAAGCCTAGTTGACTGTAACAAGGAGATAAGAGGTGGGTCGAGCTGTTAATGGTTCAAGTCTGGTTGTATTGACTGGTGTAGCACACATCACAGAAGGGTGTACATTGATAGCCTCCACATATTACCGAGGATGATTCCCCGGCACAATAAACCGTTTGGGCACGTTTACTTACACCTGATGCACCTGTTCATCTAGCAGTAAATAGGTAAAGGCTTTTGGGGATATAATATATTCGTGCAAAACCATCACATAAGTATGTAATATATAGCACGGTGGCCCGAAAGTTACTTCATAATACATGAATGCAATAAAATAGCATTACATAATAAAAATAAAATAATTTATTACAATTTAGCATAGAGTGAATACAAAAATTATGTTACAGTAAAGTAAATTTCGGCCCACAATGTGCAGTATATATGTACCTACACACCTATACCCGTTCCTATTCCTAGCGCAGTGGTACACTAGTTTCTAGTATGCTCAAGGTCATGAACACAGCAAGATGGTGACACAATTAAGTGGTTGAGGACACCGTCTCCAGGATACATCTAAGACACCATCAAGTCCTCGGCTGCCCCACATGACAAAGACAGTCACCTACCACCTGATAAAATGATCCAACAAAAGCTGTCCACGTGTAGTCCTGATCCATCCATTAGTCTCCGTTTGGAATATGAAATACAGGTCCATAGGGCCATAATTATGCCAAAGGTAAGGAAGTGGGAGCGTGTACGTCCGCCCTCCAGCCCTGACCTCAGCCTAGTGAGCAACCAGCACTTGGCGGGAACGCACTCGTACCAACACTACAACTTAACCGTCACAATCTCATTCAAAACATATATCTCATATCACAACGCTTTTACAAGTCAATGGGGCCTTGGGCATAGACAAAACTAATGAGTAACGACATATATTACTCATAATATAACCTAATATAACATATTTCTGCCCGAAACGCTGCGCGTACTAGTGGCTTTACAAGATTGTAATTACTATATTTTGTATCCTCACAATCCCAATGTACCTTCTTGTATATATATAAATAAAATAAAAATAAAATGAGATGAGCATATAGGCACACAATGAAGAATGGAATAATAATCGAAGGGTATAACAGAGAATTCCAATCTACTGGACTTGGTAATACTTAATCTCGCCCGCGAGCAATGGGCGGGGGGGAGGGGGGGAGGCTTCAAAATATTTAAGCCGTAAGTCAACCGTTATCACACTTCTCTAATACATATTCATCAATACATAGTTATACCATAATACACGTAAAATATAATATACACAACATGCTCTCAAAACCCTGCCTATGGGTAAATATCCTCACAATACAAATATAGCAATTTAAATCAGCTAATAATAGCCTAATATACTTGGCAGAAATATTAATAGATACATAATGGTACATACGCCAGTGATACATAAGTCATGTATATATGCATCATACATAATCAATACAATACTGGATACACATTATAGTATTGCCAAGAATAGGTAATATATACAAAAGATTAGTGATACTAGGCTATCTCGCCTTATAACACACTAAGGTATGATCACAGCATATACCAGTCATACTGGTGTATGTGGGGTCATAACAACCCCTTATGCACATTTCGCAAAATATCCTTACAATGCTTATCACTTAACCCAATACGTAGTCGATATTTACATCATTATTTATTTATTTATTTATTTATATACATACAAGAAGGTACATTGGGATTGTGAGGATACATAGTATCGTAATTACGATCTTGTAAAGCCACTAGTGCGCGCAGTTATCACTTACTATGAGCTATGGGAAGGGAAATCTCTCATCTCTGTTCATCTCTCATCTTCTCACTCCTGTGAGAAATCTCTCCCACAGGGGTCAGAAGTCATCTGTTCCTGTACTCACCTGTGTAAAAAGACACCACTTTCTTTTAGAGTGGAGCCGGTGGCTGAGTGGACAAAACACAGAACGCGTGATCCTGTTGTCCCGGGTTCGATCCTAGGCGCCGGCCTCAAACAATGGGCAGAGTTTCTTTCACTCTGATGCCCCTGTTACCTAGCAGTAAATAGGTACCTGGGTGTTTGTCAGCTGTCACGGGCTGCTTCCTGGGGGGTGGAGGCCTGGTCAAGGACCGGGCTGTGGGGTCTTATAGTCTCAATCAAATATAAAGGAGGTGTTGCTGATTAGTGGTCGATTTCAACCCGTCCTCGACTCAAGTCCATTACATCCAGCGGTTGACCACACAGACGCATTCATAAATTTCTACATGGTGTTCATTCAGTACAAAGAACTATGACATGTTCAGAATCCAGATTTATATGTACGGGCAGCATAAAACATCTACTAGACTGTGACATTGTAATTGCCAGAACATTATAGGCTAGGATATCGATATCTATGGCAGAGTCTACAGGTAGTGAATCCCCCCAATGGTGAACATTCCAACTGTAAACTATGTGAACAAGAGTTAAGACGTACTGTTCAATACTATCTGTGATTGCCCTGTTATCAGGGCATTCACTAAATGGTATGAGGTACTTTGAGCTCTATAATTACTTCATACACTCACGAATATTGGAAGATATTATTGTGCTGTACCAAGATTTTGTTATCGGAGGCTAATAGATCAGTCTTACATTTCATGTTCACTCTGATGGTAGAGTTAGAGAGGTGTAAAAGTCGAGACAATTAACAAAAGTTTCCTATATCACTTACCTGAACTATCATACGCTCCTTTGTCGTGGCTAAGGGCTCTTCATTCAAAATAAAATTTTACAGAAAATTTAACTAAGTATCCCACACAAATAGGCTCAATCGGCGTGAAACTATTTTTAAATGGATGACTATTAAAATAAATATTTACTATACCATTATTACAGATACATACAAAAATTACTAACGAACCAAAAACGTAAAAAGTTATTAATATGAATATTTAGCAAGTTTTAAATTTATTGAACATAAATCCGATGTATTAGTCTTTAATTGGTACAAAAAACTGAGAATTATAAATATCACTAAAAGAAAAATATATACTATATTTAAAAATACTTAATTTTGTATTGCCAATTTAATGAAAATATATATATTATTTTATTCTATTTAAATTTTGAGAAAAGTTTTACTTATTAAAATTAGCTTTACATAAGCACTTTGTTTTTAATGAAACAAACTGCATAAATTTTACATGGCTTTATATTTCTCTTACTCATCAAACCGACTTTTCGGTTGCTCCCTATATAATTATATTTTTGACAATCCATTACTTTTTGACTAGTGGATTTAATAGCTACTTAATGTGTTAAATACTTATACTTGTCTGCCGTAATTATACTAAAGACCAAACCACATGTAATTGTTCTTAGTGTATATATTTGCATAAGTATAATACTCCACCAGTTGATAGGCCTTAAACACAATACCGTCAATAACTTGCTCTAGTTTGGAAAAAAAAGTTAATGAAATGTTATAAACCCAGACTTATAACCACACAGTAATTATATAGATTATACAGATTTACCCCTTAGTTACAGGACATTAGATTACAAATAACGATGTTAATGAGCTGGATATCTCTAATTAATCTTCATTAGTAAATGCGTAGCAGTTGGGTCTGGAAATAAATCTTTCCTCCCCTTGGACAGGAATTTGTCTGTTTCCAGAAGCACGGTGACGACGGAGGGGAAATTGGACTCATAATGAAATTCTGGACAGTGAAGTAGGGGTCGGCTGACTTTCTGATTAAGTGTGAGTTCATATGTGTGTGTGGGGGGGGGGGGGAAGGTATTGTATATGTGTGTATTGTGTTTGTCTTTTGTGTACCTAGTTGTGCTTGCAGGGGGTTGAACTTCGGCTCTTTGGTCCCACCTCTCAAATTCAAATTCAAAATTCAAAATTCAAATTCTCTCTCAACCGTCAATCAACTGATGTACAGGTTTCTGTGTGTGGGGGGTGGATTATGTATATATTTCATGTATATATACAAATAGATGATGTATATATTTCATATACATATACGTTATGCATATGTATATAATATGAATGAGTGAGGGTGGTTTTGACGTGTATGTGTGTGCTATAACAGCATTTACTCTCATATAAAAATTTTAAAATGTTGAATAGTGGATGGGCAGTCTGCATTCCTGTACATGTAAATTTATGTAAATTGCACTTACACATATACGTGTTGCGCACATTGAACAACTAGCCTATACTTACAGCAATATTTGATTTGATTTTAAAAATATAAATTTGTAATAGTGTTTCTTATATGATATATATCGTAAAATATGAATATACAAGAACACCACTAACATCCAAGATGCGACTAGCGAGAGGTACAAGTCGCCATTCCTTCCTGGTGATGCTACACTCAAGAGAGAGGCATTTTGCCTTCTCTCTCGTCTCATCAACAAAACTAAGCACGGAATTGGCTCGTTTGGGGAATCATTATCTCAATAAGTCATTTCGTAAAGCATTTGTGATCAAGTCTGAAGAGAAACACGTATTCCATTCTCGTATTACATTTTATTAGAAACAAGTATTTGCTATGTCCCTGTCAAAATATATTGATATATCTAAATGGTAGGAATTTCATTAATGCTTATACGTCATTTACCCAGGAATGAACAGGTCTCTAACTATTTACATATGAAGCCCGAACCTACACCCCCAGTTCACAGCTTCAAGCATTACACCACGTACACATGAAGCCTGAACCTACACCCCCAGCTCTACAGCTTCGCCAATTCCTCAGCCCCCCAACAAGTAGCCAATACCACGCCCATGATAACCTTAACAGATCATTTCTTCTCCCAACAGGCAAGATCGTACCGTACGTGGAGATGAGCGTGGTCCACGCCTCGGCCCTCTCTCTGGTGGTCATCTCCTTAGAGCGGTACCATGTAATCTGCCAGCCGCTCCAGGCCGGCTACCGGTGCACCAAGACCAAGGCCGTGATCGCTATAGCTATCATATGGGTCGTGGCCTTCATCTCTGCAGGGTACGTTGGTCTTTACAAGTTCATATGTGCCTCATAGGGGGTGTGGGCCTGTGTACGGTGTGTACATGTAAACTTAGGGGTATGTACTCACCGAGTGGAACTTGCAGGGGTCGAGCGTCTGTTCTTAAGCACTGCCTTTCTGTATCAATAAATGTATATAAAGGAATGTGTGGATACGTCAGTCTGTACGGACCTGGGCGCAAGGTGAAGGAACATTCATGTATGGACATCAATGTGGTTCAGGCAATTATTGAAGCTACATAAATGAAGGAATTTTAAGATGAGACCATTCATAATATTTTTACGGACAATATTGCCTTCTCTCTCACTGCCGTCATGGTGCAGCTTTATGAAGCCTTCCTCACTCTCAACATGACTTCCACAGCTTAATATATATATATATATATATATATATATATATATATATATATATATATATATATATATATATATATATATATATATATATATATATATATATATATATATATATATGATAAAGCACCAGACCAAGTAATCGATACCTGCAGAGGCTTGGCCTGGTGCTGGAACACAGTCCTTGTACTGTTATAAGCCGTGGAAGGCTACACAGTATACAATATGGAACTCACAGCCAATGGGATACTTTAAAAATATATTCAGGCGCCCCGCGCTTGGATTTGCAAGAAATTATTTATATTTATGTTTTTTATCCTTGTGTTATATGTATTTTACACAAATGTCTTGAAATGTTTAAAGTGTGTGTAAGATGCGTGTGTGTTGCTGTGTGTAAGGGGTGGTGCTGGTCCACATGATTGCGTGCGTTCTGTATGATAGTGAACGCTACTCAAAATTGTTCCTTTTAAAACATATAATTTTCACACAAACGTTGTTAATGTACACAGTTACTGACACTGACTTTTGCCCCCAGACCGCTGCTACGGATCGTCCAGTACAGCTACGTTAAGTTCTATGACGGGACGTGGAAACCTCACTGCAGCGCCCCTGTTGACGACAAGTGGACCGTCTCATTCTTCTTCGCCACCTCTATTTTGTTCTTCTTCGTGCCGCTGCTGCTGCTGGTGGCGCTGTACACAGTCATTGCCCGCCAGCTGCTGGTGGACACCTTCGAGCTCACTCACAAGAAAGAGAACCCGCAGATGCGAGCGAGGAGGCAGGTGGTGGTGATGCTTGCCACAGTCGTCCTCTTCTTCTTCCTCTGCCTCTTGCCGATGCGGGTCTTCTACTTGTGGATCCTAACCGTTACCCGCGAGAGCATCACCTCCTTAGGCATCGAGGGTTACTACAACCTCCTCTACTTCTGTCGCGTCATGTATTACATCAACTCCTCGATCAATCCCATCCTCTATAACATGACGTCGACCAAGTTCCGCACTGCCTTCTTGAGGGTGTTCCGAGGCAAGCAAGGGCGGTTACACCGACAGCACACCTACAGCAACACCTCATTCAACAACCCCACAGTCAGCAACAACCTGCGCCTCAACTACGGCACCAACTGCTCTATGGTGTACAAAACGCTGTACTCCAAGAGCGTGGTCACTAACCAGTACAGCTACACCTCCACGGCGTCCGGAGCGTCTCAGGTCACGCGCCAGACTAGTCTCCTCTCTAACAGCAAATCTCGCTCGAGCACCAAAGACACTTTCGTCTAGCTGGCACTGTGACACTGTGACACTTAACCTCTATTAGTTTACACAACAGTCTAATGAAGACGCTTCTTATGATGACTTATAGCTGAACTAGACTCCGCAACGGAGTCGTTCGTGAAGGCATTTTCCGTGAGTTATAACTATTGAATCAGTGTATTTGATCGCTTCAGTCTTATTAATGTTTGGGAGCGTAATTCCCAATTCGCAGCTGTATAAACCATTTAAAGTTTACTGGGATAAACAATATATGCTTCCATGAGCTACGCTATTCAATGTCTTTCCAGAAAAAGCATAAATAAAACTAGTTGTTGAGCGTGTTGATGTGTGACGAACGACCAAAAGTGTGGAACATTTATCTATGTAATTATCTTCGCACGTTTACATGGACACATTTACAGCATATTAAAATACATTCTTGGATATTCAACTGTTTATCTGAACAATTCCATTGTATCATACGTGTCTAGTCTCGGTGTTTGCCTTATCACGTTACTTGTATACATGTGGACCCATTAGACGAATTTGTTGGTGTCAACTCCGTAAACTTTGATTGATTGATAAAGATTAAGCCACCCAAGAGGTGGCACGGGCATGAATAGCCCGTAAGTGTAAACTTTCATTAGCCTGTCTTCTTATAGTATCTCGGAGACCAGGTGGTGTCAGAGGACATATGTAAGAGTTGCGACAGGGGGCATAAATGAGGGATTCTGGCATGAGTCCGTCTTGTACTGGGGGAGGAACGCATGACCTAAAGGCTCTCCTCTCTGTCGTAATCTCTCCTTGTCCAATATCATCGATATTTCTCCAAAGCTAATTCCTGAGATAAGGGTCTCTTAAGAAAATACAAGTGTCTGTGCGTTGATGCTGTACTCTAAGATTTGTAACCATAACAACCTCAGCTGTATTTATAGCATTTTGGTATTTGCCAAAATATTTATTTGGGATCCAAGCAATGTCTTCAACAACTGAATGTTGTTCAAGGTATTGTTTTGAGAAACTCTAAAGTTGTGAGTGTGTGTGTACATGGTTGTGTGAGTGTGTGTGTGTACATGCTTGTATGTGTGTGTGTGTGTACATGGTTGTATGTGTATGTGTGTGTACATGCTTGTATGTGTGTGTACTCACCTAATTGTACTCTCCTAATTGTGCTTGCGGGGGTTGAGCTCTGGCTCTTTGGTCCCACCTCTCAACCGTCAGTCAACAGGTGTACAGGTTCCTGAGCCTATTGGGCTCTATCCCATAAGTGTGTGTTTACTAGTTGTGTTTTTACGGGGGTTGAGCTTTGCTCTTTCAGCCCGCCTCTCAACTGTCAATCAACTGTTAACTACTTTTTTTTTTTTTTTCCACACCACACACACACACCCCAGGAAGCAGCCCGTGACAGCTGACTATCTCCCAGGTACCTATTTACTGCTAGGTAACAGGGGCATTCAGGGTGAAAGAAACTTTGCCCATTTGTTTCTGCCTCGTGCGTGTGTGTGTACATGGTTGTGTGTGTGTGTACATGGTTGTGTGTGTGTGTACATGGTTGTAAGTATCTGTGTGTACGTGGTTCTGAGAATGTGTGTTGAATTATCTGAAGCTCAGGGTCGACTCTGTATCCTTGATAGGGTAAAATATGATGATATAATATTAAATAAGTAACATTTAATATATATATATATATATATATATATATATATATATATATATATATATATATATATATATATATATATATATATATATATATATATATATATAAATATATATATATATATATATATATATATATATATATATATGTATATATATATATATATATATATATATATATATATATATATATATATATATATATATATATATATATATATATATATATATATATCTGGAACATGAGTTTGTTTTGCAGTGTAAATTATGCTACAAATCCTTGTTTCACTTTTAAGAATCTCTGCTATTCATAGCTCCAGGACATCAACCAGATATTCTTACTGTTGAACAAAATAATTGTATGTTAGTCTAAAATTATTACAATTTCAATTTCTTCTTTGCAGTACCTCGTATCTCCAATCTTCTTCATGTTACACTTTACATATATTCAAAATTTTATGTGATTTCTGGCCTCCATGTTAATGTTACCTGTGTACTATTGTAATTTAAAATGTGATTTTTGGAATTTTTCCTCAGCGAGAGCTAACTTTTCTACCCAATACATAAAAATTTATCTAATTATAACTATTATATGTGTATAATAGTCATAACTATATATAAATATAAATAGTTATATTATATATATAAATAGTTATAACTATTATACATTTAAGTAATTATATGTGATTTTTTTGCCACTTTCCTCAACTAACTAGTGTTAGTTAAATGAGTCTTTTATGATTTAGCGCAGTTGAAAACTGCGTGGTTGTGCTCCTTTCGTGAATAATGAAAGTTGTCTCAGCCGGAAGCCTCACAACTCTCTGGTTGTGCCCTAAAGTTCTTAACAATATATAAATACAACCTTATGGGATGCAATGAAAAGGTTGTGGAATTTCCAAACAATGTGATTCTTGGAAGTCTTGATGTGGCTTTACAAGGATGTAAACCTTCTAGAAATTGTCCTCGGAGGGTGAAAAATGTCTTGATATGAATTTTCAACGTTCTGATACTTCCAATTTCGGACCGCTTTAGGTACTTTAGAAACTATTTAAGGTGTTTTAAATGTGCAACCATGTCTGATCTTTTCACCAAAGAATATCTGTAAGAATTGAATCATATATTTATCTTTGTCCATTGACGTAAAAAGAAGGGTTTCTTCAAACTAGACTCGAGTAATGTTCACCTTTTCATAATCTTGCAGACTTTAATATGCGGATTGTCTCTACAATGTATTTTATGTCTCAAGAGGTCGAGGTCTGACCTTCAAATACCTTCAGTTACCGTCACGTCCTCTGGTTCTGATCTTTACATTATACCAGAACTTGAGGTATAAGAGCCTGGCATTAAGCTTTCATCATCAATAACAGTTGAGAAAGTTGTGTGACATTAATGGTCAGGCCTTTTAAGTGTCGCTATACAGTATTTATTGTTCAATGTTATAGGTCTCACTTCTAAATATCGACCAATAAGACCAAGCGCAGTTTACCCATAAAATTATTTGCCCATTTTCTATTTTCTTTGCAATATTCTATTTTAGAAAATGGTATTGGTATTTAGAGGGGAGACCTTTTCATTTCTCGAAACTTTCCCGTTGCATATACAGTGATGTACATGTATGTGATAAACAGATATGTATTATTTAATCTGTTTTATGGCCAGTCTACAAACTTTGACATTAATAAAAGAGAAGGAAAATATGAAAGCATTCATTTAAATATATGGAGAAATGTCGAAGTTTGTAAACAACTTCCAATGTTCATTATATTAAGATATTTACTAACTTATTATTGTCCGTATGTTATAAATTATAATCTACAATACTTGTAAAGAAAAAGTATATATGACATGAATTCTTAAAGATTATGTTTTGTATTTACATAAAATATTTCACTGTAACTTAACCTCGCTTAATTACCATATCAATTTATCGTTTCATATTTAAATATGCAGCATTTTGAAATCGTACCAACGCCACAACTATATTTTTTTAGCAAATTTGAATCACTATTATACTTTTATTAGAAAGTTTGTAAGTTATTACTTTTGTTAGTCTGGAAAGTCTGTTATTTTTATTGACAATGCAGTCTGGAGGGCAAATCACGAGTTAAAAAATACATTTACTGTATTGTTAACGCGTCATCAGAGAATACTCCTTCATATGAATGCATGGGAACTTGTTGTATTTTCTTGGTGGGAATGTTGAAATGCAATTTTGATTGTATTTATTTTCACAGTTTTCATATTATATTTTTCCAGATGGCTGTTATCTGATAACATAATATGTGAGTACATGAGTTACATTCCAGTTCCTGCAGTTTATGCTAACAGAGCGCTCATTCACTGTATGTCCACAGACACCAATTCCTTCCCCTCTGCTTGTCAACACCTCGCTACTTACTCCCTTCTTGATGTCAACTGAGCTTACCTTCTCCAGCTATAGATAAAGACTGGAAATAAGCCACCACTTATTAGTATCAATTGCCCTATCAACATCTTTATTCGCTTTCTTCCCCCCATACATCTACATGCATCTACAGGACCTACCTCCTCCCCTTCCCCCGCCATACACTCACAGAACGCCTTTCTTTCTCTCCCATGCACATTCTCCCCCATGTTTTTTCACCCATAGGGTTATAAACCCTTGGAACCGCCTACCTGCCGAAGCCGCAAACGCTTAGACGAAACACACTTAGACGAAAACTTAATACTGTACTAATTGAGATTAAAGTATAAATTGTGTTGAAAAGGAAGGGGGGTGACAAGACAGAAATCAGCAATTAAACAAGTTGGTCAACAAACAGATTGTTTGAAAATAGCAAGACATGGGTTGACATTTAGGGGATAAAGTAGGCTACATAGAGCTTATTAGGTAGTCCTTAGTTTTTCTCTTAAACTGGTTGAGAGAGTTCAGCTTAGTTCATTTATTATGCACCCCGTACCCGTCTTGTGGGCGGTAGTGGAAAGGGTTACAGAGGCACATAATGGGATCAGGGACTGAACCCCACAATTCATTTAGCTAAGCAAGTTACAATCTTGATGAGCTAGTTACAAAATTCAGTTGAGATTGGTACAGCCTTTGTCATGATTGGAAAGGTCATTCTACATTCTGGGTCCCTTGATTTGTAAAACATTTCTAGTTTGGTTAAAACGCACTCTTGGAATATCAATATATAGATTCAGTTACTCGGAACAAAACGTTCAAAGTAGCATTATAGTGAACCAGTAATGGATTAAAAAAAAATAAAGGGTCCTGCAGGCTCCCTGTTGTTTACATACAGACTACTGGTGACGTCTGTAACGCGGCTCATATGAACCGATGATATAAACAAATACAATACAAACGACACTAGTACGCGTAGCGTTTCGGGCAAGTTAGATTATGTAGTTCCAAAGCTAAGAGGGTTATCCTATGAGGATAAGTTGAAGGAAGTAGACCTCACAACCCTGGAGGACAGAAGAAACAGAGGAGATAAGATCACAACATGCAAGATTCTGAGGGGAATAGACAATGTGCAAAAAAGATAGCCTCATTAAATTGAAAAAAAGGTATAACTAGAACACAAATGGAAGCTTGTAACATACATGTGTCAGAGGACTGTAAGGAAGTACTCATACCCAGTACGAGTGTTCAGCAAGTGGAATGCACTAGAAGTTGTGGAACCACCTCCATACATAGGTAAAAAATCAATTAAGGCCAGATTTGACAAAGAATTTGAATGTCAGAAAAGCTAAACACAACAGATACGACAAGGCTAGTAGGCAGGACATAAAGAGCTAAACACTAGTTTTCCATAGACACCGATGGGTAGGTACACCCACAGGATCTACAGTATTTCCTTCCCACCATACACCAACAGAACCTACTTCCTTCTCCTTATACACCAACAAGACCTATTTTGTTCTTAGCCACACACCTTATGGACCTACTTCTTTTCCCGCATACACCCACAGGACCTACGTTCTTCCCTACATTACCTACTCCCCCTGCGCACACACACCCACATCCTCCCACAGGACCCACATCCTCCCACCTCTCACCCATAGGACCCACTTCCTCCTACAGTATACTACAGATTACAGTCTGTTATAGATAAATCCAATTCTGTTCCCTATTGTTCTATTCAAATTTGTCTAATGTTAAACAGTTATTAGAGGCAAATGCCCTAGCTTTATATATATTAAATATAAAGTAAACTTATGTTATGAGAATTATATTTTAATGTGTTCCATGCCAATAAATTTGGTCCTTGTTGTTTAAACAGGATTTACATACAAAATACAGAAAAATTTCAGACTTTTTTTACTCATGCACAATGAATGCTTTGGATCCTTGTAACAACAAATTTTGCATAAATTTAATATTTTGTCTTGTTTAGTAAATACAGTATAATATGGGTTACAGCATGATCGGGTGTTAATTTACATGTAGAAATGATTTATTTAACACTGTGATATAAAAGCCGTCCTTCTCCTTAGCTGAACC